TATCTATCTATCTATCTATCTATCTATCTATCTATCTATCTATCTATCTATCTATCTATCTATCTATCTATCTATCTATCTATCTATCCCATTCCATTCCATTCCATTCCATTCCATTCCATTCCATATATAAATGCCTGTGTGTGTGTGTGTATGTTCCAGCATAACTCTGGAACGCCTTGAACAATTTCAACCAAACTTGGTACACAGATAACTTACTCTTTGGAAACAAATACTGTGGGGGTAAGACACCCCTAACACCCCTCGGGATGTGTGTTCTGTTAAGATACACCCTGTTGTGCCTTAAAATGGCTTCTACCGTACTGCTGTAAGATGGCTTCTACTGTACAGCACAGCGGAGTTGCGATGGTAATGGCTTCCCAGTACTCCGCAAGGGAGCTCCCTCTGGTAAGGGAGGAAGTTCCAACATTAGAAACTGTGTTTGGTCTGGACATTTTCCCCCTATAAATAAATACCTGGACAACGCTCGGTTATTAGCACTAGTCGATAAATAAAATAAAACCCTCCAAAGCACTATTAATAGAATGGTCCTTACATATTCTTATACAGATAGTCCTCATCTTACAACCATTTGTTTTCTTTCAAAGTTACAACGGCACTGAAAAAAGTGACTTGCAACCAGTTTTCACAAGTATGACCGTTGTAGCATTCCCCCGTGATCACGTGATCAAAATCCAGGCACTTGGCAACTGGCTCATAGTTACGACGGTTGCAGTGTCCCGGGGTCACGTGATCCCCTTTTGCAACCTTCCGACGAGCAAAGCGAGTGGGGAAGCCAGGTTCACTTAACAACCGTGTCAGTAACTGAACAGTTGAAGTGATCCACTTAACAACCGCAACAGGAAAGGTCATAATGAATGGGGAACATTCACTTAATAACTAACTCTTGCTTAGCAACAGAAATGCTGGGCTCAATTGTGGTCGTAAATCGAGGACTATCTGTACACACTGCTGATTTCCAGATGAGCCAGAATTCCCTCTGACTTGAGAGCCATCCACAGCATCTGGTGAGGATACAAGATATTGTATTTTTCAGACTATAAGATGCACTGGTGTATAAGACACACCAACATTTCCACGCTTTTTTAGGGGGGGGAGTGCGTCTTATACTCCAAAAAATACGGTAGATTTCAAAGCAAAATATGATGTGGAGCACAGGTGGATGTACATCTAATTGGCTGCAATTATCAAATGTTGCAATTATCCTGGAAAAATGATATGTAGGATGTTTCCAACACAGGCCACACGAATGCGCTTGCGATCAATAAATCAACGTTGCCGTTTCTGACGCATCTCTGCCCAGCCCTATTTGGGAAAGTTGGAACTGGCACACTTTTTTTTTTCTAGTCCTATCCGGAAAAGGTAATGATTGAACCGATGGCCTTTGCACACAAAGCAAGCACTGTATTCTGCTTTAAATGCTTGGCAGCAGCAAAGGTTCGAACGGGGGCAAGCCATAAAAAAAAAAAAAAGAAAGAAAACCAGATAACCAGGAAAAATCAGAAAGAGAAATGAAGGTTTTATAAGACGAAAGCCAAAATCAGCAGGAACATAAAGATCAGGAAACGAAGCCTCTTTCTACCTTCTGAATAACAGCTGAAAGTACAAAAAAAAAGAAAAGAAAACAAGATGATTTTTCTTTCCAGTTAATTTACAGGTAAATGACCTTGCAACTATTTTGTCCTTGGTTCGTCCTTTAAGGAAGGTAAGGGATGAACCCACCATCCCTTTTGAGCCTGGCATTTGAAATATATATATATATATTT